ACATATGTAAGAATAAATAATACCAATGCTACATAAACTCTTCAATACTACATGGAGAAAGGAATACTTCCCAAGTCATTTATGAGAAATTACCCTGCACCAAAATCAGAGGAAGATATTATGAGAATAGAAAAACACACTCCCAAATAACTCATAAAAATAACTGCAAAATTCCTTAACAATTTTAGCAAATCAAATCCCGCATTATATGAAAAGGTTAATTAGAGGTTCCGGTCAAGATGGCAGAATAGATGGTCCCCAGCATCACTCTCTCCCACAAATCAACCAATTTGCAATTATTAAAAAGCAACAACATCTAAGCTGGGGCCACTAGAGTTCAGGGGAAGAGAAGGAGAGACCTACGGAGTTTATGAAGGCATGAGAAGACATGAAGGAAAGAAAGGACTGCACCCACCATTTCAAGCCCTAGCCGCTTTAAGGCTGGAGCTGGTACAAAAGCTGCACCTGTGCCCTTCCTACAAAGTTGCTTGAAGTCTGCAGGGGAAAAGAGGGCCTAGGTAGGCCCCAGGACAGCAAGACCACTAATGGTTCCCATGGACCCACATAGGAGCAAGGAGTCACAGACAACTGAAAAAAGGAGCCACTCAAAGGCCACTGAGTCATTACAAGGGACCAGTGTATGACCCATCCCATGGGAAGTGTTTGGAGTGTAGGCAGTGGGGGAGATGGGCCAACAGGGAAACATTGGGGCACAGCACAGACAGCTGATCTGCCCTATAATCAGCACAGGACCACTCAGTGGAGACTGGTCAGGAATACAGAACTGCCGGGGATGTAGTTTGCTGAATAGACTGAGGCCCAAGACCAGAGTTTCCATTGGGGCACAGCACAGACAGCTGATCTGCCCTATAATCAGCACAGGACCACTCAGTGGAGACTGGTCAGAAATACAGAACTGCCGGGGATGTAGTTTGCTGAATAGACTGAGGCCCAAGACCAGAGTTTCCACACAACCCAGGTGTCCCAGATCTCACAACCCTGGAAGTGCTTTCAGGGCCAACAATAAAACCTGAGCTGCACTAAAAGCCTTCCCCAGAGAATCAGCAGCAAAGCAGCAATTTAGCTCAATCACAGTGCTGGTTCCTTTAGGAAGTTCCCCCATTTTAGAAGTAACCAAAGAACAACAAATTAGTTCCAAAGCACAGTTTAAGTAGTGAGAACAGTGAATAATCCAATGCAGAACTGAAAGAAAAAAAACCCTACAGATCAGAGACAAAGTTTGATATCAACCAGTAAAGGTCTAACACCACCAAAGAATACCTATAAAACCTAAAAGGACCAGAAGCCCCCTAGGCTCCCAGGCCGGGGAATGGGGAGGGCTGTGGGCATCAGCCATGCACCGCCCCCCCCCAAGAAAAACTGCACCCAGCCCAGTGACAACATCCAGGCTGCCACTAGAAGTGCCCCAGGCTATTATGCCAGGGCGGTGGGGGCCAAGGATCTCAGCGACACCCCTTTGACATCAGCAACCAGCCCAGCAACAACCACCGAGCCACCAGAGAAAGCACCTTGGGCTCCCAAGCCAAGATGGTAGGAGGATGAGGGCCTCAGCCACAACCCCCAACTTGCACAACCAGCCCAGAGACCACCACCGAGCCACCACAGGAAGTGTCTCAGGCTCCCAAGCAGGGGCAGTGAGGGGCCCAGGGCCTCAGCTGTGCCGCCCAGACATCCTCAACCAGCCCAGTGATGACCACCAAGTTGGTGCCAGAAGGGCCCCAGGCTCCTGAGCTGGGATGGTAGGGGGCCAAAGGCCTCAGTAACACCCCCTGACTTCTGCAACAGGCCCAGCAATGACCACTGATCCACTGCTGTAAATGCCCTGAACCCCTGAGCCAAGGTGGTGGGGGGCTAAGAGCCTTACTTAACCATGTCCCCCCCCCCAACATCTGCAACTGCCCAGTGACAACTAAGCCACTGCTGGAAGCCCCCTAGGCTTTCCTGCCAGAATGAGGGGGGTGCCACGGGCCTCAATGATGTTCCCCCTCTTTCTTCCTCCTCCCATCCTATTTCCCTCCTCCTTTCCCTCTCCCCCTCCTCCCTAACCGCTGCACAATCACATCTTAGAATGCGGCATGAAGCTAGGGAAGCCGAACCCAGCCATAATTAGGCAAGCTGCTGCCACTGCTCTGGGGCCTAACCAGGGCCCTGAGGTATAGAGCCGGGAAAAAGCCAAACATAGCCACAACCAGGTAAAGAGCACACCAAAAACACCATTTCCATGTGGCCAGCCCACCATAGCCACCACAATTGCCACGGCTGCTGCAAAAGCAGCTAGTCTCTACAGCAGCAGTCACGCCAGACTCAACTACCTTGACACAAGGAGAGATGCCAGTGGAGACCAAAAAAAAAAGAAGAGGTCCTCTCTCTCCACAAAGCACACTCCAAAGTAATAGAAGAAGCATCTGCTTCACAATAATAGGGGAGGACTTGATCACACCTCACATCTGTCTCAGTACTGGACAGATCATCTAGGCAACAAACCAACAGAGGAACAGTTAATCTTATCAGATGGAGAGAACAAGTCTATGGTTATGGAGGGGGGGAGGGAGAGACTGGATAAGGGCCATAACGAACAAGTACAATTTGTAATAATGAATATGCTAATAAAAATAAGTTAATTATTAAAAAATAATAAAAGGATAATTAAATGGTGACCAAGTAGTTTTTATCCCAGGAATGCAAGGCTGATGTAACATTCAACTATCGATCAATATAATTCACCATATTACTAAAGATTAGAAAGAAAAACCATATGATCGTTTCGATAAAATCAGAAACCATTTGACAAAATTCAACACCTATTGATGACTAAAAAAGGTACTACCAAACTAGAAAAAGAAAGAAATTTCTTTGACCTGACAAGGGCATATCCAAAAACCTTAAGCCAACAGCATACTTAATGGTGAAGTATTTAATGGTTTCCCCCTAAGACTGAGAATAAGTCAAGAATGTTACTTTTACTAAACACTGCACTGGAGGTCCAGCCAGTGCAATAAGGCAAAAAAATTAAAAGGCATTTTGATTGTAAAGGAAGAAGCAGAATGGCTTTATTCACAAATAAAATTATCTCTGTAAGTAATCCTAAGGAATCTACTAAAAACACTTCTAAGACTAGTGAGTCTAGCAAGGTCTCAGGATACAAGTCAATACACACAAAAAATTGCATTTCTACATTCTAGCTAAAAACAATATGGAATATTTATCGGTAAATTTAATAAAAGATGTTTAATACTTGTATGCTGAAAACTACAAAACACTGAAAAAAATGAAATAAAGGGAAAGGTACTTTGTTCATGAACTGAAGTACTCAATAATGTTAAAATAATCTACATTATCCAAATTGTTTTATAGATTTAACACAACACAATTAAAATCACAGCAGGCTTTTCATAAAATTTGACAAATTTATTCAACAATGTTTATGGAAATGTAGTCTAGAACAGCCAAAACTACCTTTAAAATGAAGTTGGAGTACTTTTACTACCTCATTTCAAGAACTACTAACTATACAACTACTATAATAAAGACAATGTGATAATGGCATAAGGATAGAAATATATGACAAAGCAACAAAGTAGAGTGTTCAGAAACAGATACATATAAATATGACCAATTAATTTAAGAAATGTACAAAGGTAATCCAAAGTGAAAAGGATTGTCTCTTCAACGAATGGATATGCAACAAATGGATACTCATACAGAAAAAAATAAAACTTAACCCCCAAACTTGCCTCACACCATATAAAAATAATTAACACAAAGGTGATCATAGATCTAAATGTAAGAGCTAAAACTACAGAACTTCTAGATGAAAGTCTTAACAAAAAAAATGTTGTGACCTTGGTTTAAACTGATTTCTTAGGATACAAAAGCACATACCATGCGAGAAAAAAATTTTAATGAGACTTCATCAAAATTAAATCTTTTGTACCTGAAGAAATACTGTTAATAAAAAGACAAATCACAAATTGAAAGAAAATATTTGATGAATATGGATCTAACAGATTAACTTACACTCCAAATAGAATAATATGACAAACAACACTTAAATGAACAGAAGATTTGAACACAAACATCACAAAAAAAGACATAAGAATGGCCAATAAACACATGAAAAAATGCTCAACATCATAAGTCCTGAGAGAAATTCAAAATTAAAACCTAAACTTGAATGCCTCAAATCAAAAACAGTCGTGTATGAGGTTCCCAGTTGGTCTGCATCCTGAAAATTATCATGTTCAGGATATGAGGTTCCCAGTTGGTCTGCATCCTGAAAATTATCATGTTCAGGATGCAGACCAACTGGGAACCTCATACACCACTGACATGAATGGAAAAGTTTTCACTATGGAAAATAATTTGAGTTTCTCATGAAGATAAATATACACTTAAAATAAAACCAAGCAATCTCACTGAGGTATTTAAGCAAGAGATAAAATATATGCCTGCAGAAAGATCTGTACTCAAAAATGTTCATAGCAGTTTTATTTATAATTGAAAACTAGAAATCCAAATGTCCATCAACTTGTGAATGGATAAATAAACTGTAGTATATCCATAAAATGTAATACTACTCAAAATAAAACAAAACAGAATAAACTACTGATAAAAGCTACAACACAGATAATCTCAAAAACATTATTGTAAGTGAAAGAAGCCTAACACAAAAGACTACATATCAAATGATTTTATTTATATGACTATCTAGAAAAGGCAAAACTATAGGAACACAAATAAATCAAAGGTTGTAAGGGCTGGGGGCTGGGGAGAGGGGACTGGCTTCAAATAGGCACAAGGGAATTTTGGAAAGTAATGGATTTGTTCTACATCATGATTATGGTGGTGGTTACAGAATTATATAAAACTAATCAAATTGTACCTTGTAAATTGGTGAATTTATTATACATAAATAATACCTTAAGATACCTGACTTAAAAATAAATGAATAAAAATAAACACATGTATTTAAAACTTACCGCAGCACTACAACCAGGGAAATTGAAAAAAGTATCAGGACCGTGTCTTTGTGGCATCTGATTAAGAACTGATAATAATTTTACTGCATGTCTTGGCTGAGGAAACAATAAAAGAAGCATCATTTTACAAATTTAGCAACAAAACCTAATATACCACATTGGCCACTGGACTGTTTTCTAACCAGAGAAAAAATTAATTTAAAATCATTTAGTAAACATTTACAAAATCATTTAAGAGGAAAACAATTTCCATTATAAATTCAAGTATACAGATCTCTACAGACAAATTTTTGAACATTAAGTATTGATGGACTGGTATTAAATACTTCTCCCTCTGACCACAGCTTACCCAGATTCCACTTTCTCCTCGAAGCATGCTGAACAAAAGCTTCAACTCCTTGACAGTGATGCTGTAGCTGGCAAGAACCCCCAACATATCAACTAGAAGATCTTCAAAGGAAAATAAAGTTATTCTGAACTCTAGTCATGAGCTGCCATCTGTCAAGGTAATATACTTTTTGAAAGGGCAAAAGTTATCAATTGTAATTTATATATATAGATATATATATATTTAATATAGCTAAATGTCCTCATGAATAGCTATTCTAATTAACAATTTTTAAGTCATCAGATTACCAAAAAGATTCATTTGAATTATAGGATTTTTCCCCATTAGATTTACCATTCCAATTAATCTTTCTTAGCAGATACATAAAACAGATTTTATATATTCCCGGAATACATACACACACTCACACACAATCAGTTGCATGCAGGGAAAGAGAAGGAAAAATATGCAAAAGTACCAAGATTTAACATTGGAAATTGGTTATTTTCAAGTAAAAAAGTGATAGTTAAAAATATTTTCTTTCAGAATTATCTATTCTTAATAACATATATTCTTGAAAGATACTGTCGCCCATTAAAAATTTTGAGTCCTTACTCCGTGTGGGGCATTATTCCAAGTGATTTACATGTATTTACTTCTCAAATCTCGTAACAAGCCTATGGTGGGTACAATTATTCTCCTCCTTTAAAAATGAATAAAGTATGGCACAGATACTTTGTTCACACTGCCCAAGAACACACAACTAGCAAGTGGTAGAGTCAGGATTCCAACTAAGGTAGTGTGGCCCCAGAACCCTTACTTTTACTCACTAGTCCGTAAGTAAAAGTGTAATTTAAAAACACTACTAGTGATATCCATTATGCTAACATGAGTGTTTATGTGCATATAACAGACACACAAGCCCACCAAATAATGAGGAAAATTATACATTTAATCTCTTATCTCTACCATATCATAACTAATACCTGCCAATTGTTTTTTGCAAGAAATTAAACATCTAAATATTTGTACTTCTTTTTCTCAATTCCTAAAGCACTTCTAAAAATTAAACATACTACACAAGTTATTACAAACCAATACACATATATATTCTAAAAGTTTATCAATTAATAAAAAAGGTTAGATTGGCGTAAGTTAAAATAATTGATCATTGAATATTATCCAATATCACAGATTAGTAACTGAAACTTGAGACTTTAAAAAATATTTGTGTATTTCAAAATAGAAATTAATATGGTTATTTTCATCAATAAATAGTGACACAACACCACAAGCAGGCAATCTCTATGATAAAATTGTGACAATGGATATGCCATTTTTGAGAGAGATCTTTTAATGAAACAAAAAGTTTCATCATTTAAGTAACAAAAATGTATGAAACTGTTAGTACATATAAGTAAGAAGATATGTTTCTAAGGAAGAATTCTAAATGGAAATCATGCACCTTAAAAACATAAATGAAACATTTTTAAGCAATTAGCTGCAATGGCAACTTTCATAGAAGATTATTTAAAGGTTTACATACAAATACTTTTTTGTAAAAATTGAACTTCAATTTGCAAACCTTTATTTCATCTCCTATGTATGACACAAAAAGTGACCTATTAAATTTGTACTTAATTACAAAAAATTTCTTATATATTGTACATGTAACACATGCAGTTTAATTTGATTACAGCAGGTCTTCTTTTCTGGAAAACAAGATTTTTAAAAAGAAAAATATACTAAGACTATGAAATTCTCTTATTAATTTACTATAAATGCTTAACCACCTTCTAGTGATACTTCTACATTATTATATGAAAAGTACTTCTTTGAACCCAACATACTACAAACACATTCAGAGATCAAAATAATGTTTAGGTGGCTTTTGGTTTTTCCTCAGTATGATATCTAAATTTTAATTTCTCTTCTAAAAAGACAGAGGTATTTTTCTGACATTTATCCTCTTTTCTCATATCCTTCCATCATCAGGCTCTTTTGGAAGGAAATCCTTAAAATAACAAAATGAAATTTTTGTGTTATCAATATTATTATTACTGAGAAGAGGAATAAGAGAATTAAGGAGCTTTATATAATAAAAAATGTCAAAATATGAACTTGTATGGTACTATCACCCTCACTGTTACTTTACATGTCAATGCTAATTAATTATGTACCAGTAAAGTATACATGTAATTTTCACTCATTCTCTAATCCACACTCTATAAAGTGGCAGCCACTTCAATTTCTAAAAACCATTAATAAATTTAAGGATTTAAGACAAGATATAAGGATTGAAAGATCACATGATGTTCTATACAACATGTGTACAAATATGTTTATAAAAATAAATTCCTGTTAACTCTAGAATTTACAGAAACAGTACTATATCTTAATTAAAAAGATATTTTAAGTAACATAAGTCTGAATCTCATTTTTCATCCAGTTAGACATTAGTATATAGAAAATGCTAAATCCTTCCAAATAGAGATACATGCCACCTTGAAAGCAATTAAAAATGATTTTAATATATTCCCTAAGAAAATCAAATTTTTAATAAAAATATTATTAAAATTAAAAAAGCATTCTTCTTTAACCTATTCTTCATTCCATTCTTTCTTTCTCTCTCCCTTTTTATTTTTTTGGCTGGTACAGGGATTGAACCCTGTACCTTGGTGTTATCAGCACCACGCTCTAACCAACTGAGCCAACCAGCTAGCCCATTCTTTCTTTTTTACTGTTTTTTGTTTGTTTGTTTGTTTTGGTGGCTGGCTGGTAGAGGGATCCGAACCCATGACCTTGGTGTTAAAAAGCTGCACTCTAACTAACTGAGCTAACAGGCCAGCCCCCTCTCTTTTATTGTTTTGTTCCACAAATTAATTAAATGCATAAGGCAAAATGTGAAAGAGTATTCTCTGGTGTCAACTACTTTTAAAGATCAGATACAATACTGTGAAGAGTCATTTTAGCACTTTGAGAATTATGAAAACACTTTTATGTCAGAAGACACTCATGCTGAAGATTCAAAGGTTTAGGAGAATCAACATTTCAAGCTCTAAACTTATTTTATGGGAATAACTGTTGCTCTGGAATCACCATTCAAAACATTCCTGAAATGCATCTAGCCACAAAGGAAAATGAACTTGCAGAAATGTAAACGGTTGGTGGTAAAGAATCATACATTTCAAAGTTAATGTTTAAAGTAACTCATGAGAAGCACAAAAATTAGCATTTTTATCTTGAAATTTTGGGCAAATTTTATGTTCTACTCCACAATATATACGTTTCTTTTAATACAAAAGTCCACCCCAAATATCAAAGTTAAATGGACACTTCCAAAAATACACCATGCTTACCCTAAGGCTTTTAGTACCTCCTACCATAGTTCCATACATACCAGATTGAAGAGCATCAAGCTGGGAGAATTTGGTAAAGGGCTCTTTATACAGAACTGCAATATGTATTTTGATATTTTAATCATGTAAAGGTCTAAGTAAATACTACATTTAAAGAAATTGTTTATTTTTCTGATAGATTTCATAGCACTTACTCCACAGTACTGAGATTCTCTAAAACTTAGAAATGCAAAATTAGTAATTATGTTTTTCTAATACAGTAATTATGTTTGCCTTCTTCCATTCTTCAGGTTTTCCATTAATATAGAAAGGAAATTTTCCATACATTTAGTTTATCTATTTTGAATCAAGGTAGTTTCAACAAATCTATATTACCTATAGAACATAAAGAGAAGTACATGAAACTTTAGAAACATTTAAATTATATTTTCCTGTCAGATAACCCCATACCTGCTATCATGTCATCTACAGCACTCATTTTCAGCAAAACTTGTTCAATTAGCCCAACTTCTGTGCTAGTCTGTAAATTCCGAACACTTTTTCGTAGAATGGCTGTAAACATGCTCCAGATTTCTGCTTGACATGTTACATCACAGTGCTCCAATAGCTCTGTCATGCATGTTATACTCTCAGCATCCTGGATAATAAAGTTCATCTCCAAGTCAAATTCTCCACCAACCAGCTGAAAGTAAACAGAAAGAAAAAATAACTAGGATAATGTAGGAGGTTATTTATAAAATAAAATAATACCAAAAATTCAACTAGCAAGAAAGCATAGCTATTATAAAAAATTTCAAATCTGCTGGTGAAAAACTAATTTTAATCAAAAGCTTTAGAGTTACAGATAAGTGAAAGACACTGTAACAACTGAAACTGGCAAACAGAAATCTAATTTTCACGAAGATGGAAAAGGGCAATTTCAAATCTAGAAGAATAGAGCAAACTACAGCATATGGTTAGTGGGTGGAATTCAGAACAAATTCCTAAAACAAAGGGTTTGGCCTTTAAAAGTAATAATCAATAGAAAATATAGAGTTCACTAAGGATAAATTTTAAGACATGAAATTTTCTCTTGATATTTCTAGACTTACAGATAAAGAGATATAACAGAAAAAGAGTAGAGAGAAGATGAAGAAATGTGAAACTGATACTAGCACAACTTAAACAATAAATGTTGAAATGATGTAATGAGTGTTAAAAAATAAGTTTAACAGAAATACGTAAGCACAAATGTGAATTGGGTAAAGTTTTTTTTTTTTTTTTTTTAAAGCACCAATGTGAATTGGGTAAAGTTGACTTAATAGAAGCACATTTGACTTTCACGTTGTGTCAAATGAGTTGAAAGTATTACTACCCCTCCCCATGCTTTAAAGCACCAATGTGAATTGGGTAAAGTTGACTTAATAGCAGCACATTTGACTTTCACGTTGTGTCAAATGAGTTGAAAGTATTACTACCCCTCCCCATGCTACTTTAAGTACACGGATAGACAAATATACATAGAATAAAGAATAATGATACTCTTTTATTCTCTGTTGATAAAATCACATATGAATTATTATATTTGGTTATAAGCAACTGCTGTGGATTGAATGTCCCCTCAAAATTCATTGAAACGACCTCCATTGCAATGGTATTAAGAGGGTAGTAAATCTGATTATGGTATTTGAAAGGAGGGGCTTTTAAGAGGTGATTGGATAGTGAGGACTATGCCCTTGTGAATGGATAAATCCATTAATGGTTAACAGTTTAAGGTGCTACCAGGGAGTGGTTGTGATGGCTTTATAGGGAGAGCAAGTGAGCATGTTAACTCTTCTGTCATACCATCCTCACTCTGGTATCCTGTATTGCCATGGGACTCTGTACAGAGTCCTCACAAAGAAGAAGGCCCTTACTAGATGTGCCCCCTGGACCATAGACTTCCTACCCTCCAAAACTGTAAGAAATAAGTTTCACTTTCTTATAAATTACCCTGTTTCTGGTATTCTGTTACAAGCACAGTAAAAGAACTAATAGAGAAAATTGATACTGAGAGTGGGGTGTTGCTTATAATAAATACCTGAAAATGTGGAAGCAGCTTTGGAACTGGGTAATGGGCAGAGGTGGAGGAACACCATAGAAAAGGACTAGATTCTGGTGAGGGCTTAGAAGACAAGAAGACCAGGGAAAGTTTAGTATTGGTTAAGTGGTGGTGACCAGAATGCTGACAGAAACATGGACAGTCAAGGCCATTCTGAGAAGGTCTCAGATGGAAATGAGGAAGAGCTTATTGGAAACTGATGCAAAAGTCACCCTTGTTATAGAGTTGCAAAGAGCCTGACTGCACTGTGTCACTACCCAAGGGCTTTATGGAATGTGAAACTTAAAAGAGATAAAGCAGGGTATTTGGCAGAAGAAATTTCTAATAGCAAAGCATTCAGGCAGCTGTGTGACTACTTCTAACAGCCTACACTGAATTATGGCAGCAAAGGCATGACATAAAGGCAGAATTTATAATTAAAAGGGAAGCAGAGGGTAAAAATTGGAAAAACCTCTGGCCATAGAAAGGGTGAAAAAGTGTGTTCAGGAGAGGAGACCAAGGATGTAGCCCAGCAACTGTCTGCTAAGGAGATTAGTACAGAAAGAATGGACCATCAAGAGAATCAAAGACCCTGAACACATTTCAGAGATCTTCAAAGCTGCCCCTCCCATCACAGACCCAGAGGACTAGGGAAACAAATAGATGTCAGAGAACAGGCCCAAGTCACCCTCCACAGGACTCACTGCCCAAGGCCACCTCAGGATGCTGTTCACCACTCCTGCACCCCAGCTGCTCGCCGTGACTAATTTGGCCTGAGCTGCTGGACCTGCAGCTTCAAAAGATACAAGCGAGAATCTTTGGCAACGTACATGTGGTATTAAGTCTGCAGGCCTGCAGAACCCAAGAGCCAGATTCTGGAGCCTGGCAGCCTCCACCCAGATTTTAAAGGATGTATGGAAAAGCCTGAGAGCCTAAGAAGAGATTTGTCAAAGGGGCAGAAGGGCAGAGACTCTCCACTAGAGCAGTGCCAAGCAGAAACATGGGGTCAAAGTCACAGGGAGCCTCCACCAAGGTGATGCCTAGTGGAGCTATGGGAGCAGGACAACCACCGAGACCCCAGAATTGTACAGCTACCACCATGCAATGCCAGCCTGGGAAAGCTGAAGCATAAGCCGAGCCCAGGAAAGCCATAGGGGTGGAGCTGCCCAAGGACTTTGGGGCTCAACCCATACACCAGTGTTCAGAGGATGCTGGACACAGCGAGACCCCAGAATTGTACAGCTACCACCATGCAATGCCAGCCTGGGAAAGCTGAAGCATAAGCCGAGCCCAGGAAAGCCATAGGGGTAGAGCTGCCCAAGGACTTTGGGGCTCAACCCATACACCAGTGTTCAGAGGATGCTGGACACAGAGTTAAGGTAGATTATTTTCCAGCTTTAAGATTTAACACCTGCCCTGCTGGGTCTCAAACATGCTTAGGATCCATTACCTCTTTCTTTTGAACCATTTTTCCCATTTTGAATGGGAAACAGAATAATAGCTATATATGAAATACCTGACAAATTTAAAGTCATTCATTTATTTGTTCATTCAATATATATTTTATTTATTAAAGTCAGAACTTACTGTTCTAGGAACGAGAATATATCAGTGGATGAGAAAAATTCAACGTATTGACAGCACTAAATTCCAGGAACAGAGATGTAGATGTATGTAATATATACCTTACCCTATTCTGAAAAAGGTTGAAGCTGGCTTACAAGGACTTAGAAGTTTGAGAGGTCTTCAAAAAGTTCATGAAAAGAGTCATATTATCTTTTAATTCCATTTTTCCACAAACTTTTTGAGGTACTCTCACATAAAGCATGAAACAAGATATAAAATATGAGTAGTTAAGAAAGAGGAAGCAAAGAAAAAATAAGATTAGGAATAGACAGGGAGTAGAATTAGGATAGTAGAATTAATTTCCCAATACTGAAAGGTATTCACAAACATGGATGGATGACCACATGGTATGGTATAAATAGGATAAATAATAATAACAATAATAATAATAACAACAACGCCTAAACTTAAATGGCATTTAAGCATTATTGTAAGTGCTTCACATCTATTAAGAAGCTATTATTATCTTCACTTTACAGGTAAAGAATCATAGGCACAGAGAATTTAAGCACCCTGAAAAAGGTCACAAAACAGGTTTGGATTCAGGATCCAAATGCAAGAGGTCTGTCTTCATACAATTCTACACAGGCAATAAAATTTCATTTAAGAATATTTTTAAAGTTTTCTAAAATTAAAGATTTTTCAAAACAGTATTTGTCACAAATTTTGAAACGTTATACTCTATATATGTCTCTATATAACAGAGCCAAAATTCAACTTTATAAGCAACTAGCCTCTCTGCTAAATCTTAACCTTGACTGACCTAGATATTCTCTCTGTTTAAAGGCTATTTCCACCTCTGTGTAAGAAACAATCTCAACTCCTTATGCTATTTCTGGCTTATTAATGACAATAGCTACAACAGGAGTTAAGAGAGTAGCTCTGAATTCAGACTTCCTGGATTCAGATTCTAGCTGCATCACTCACTAGTGTGACCTTAATGAAGCAACATCTCTAAGCCTCAGTTAATTCATCTACAAAATGGCATTAGAAGTTCTTGTCTATAGGATTGTTGTGAAGATTAAATGAGATAATTGGGTAATAAGTACTTAGGCACAATGGCAGACATATAGCTACCATTCAGTTAAAGTTAGCTATTATCAGTTCTCTAACGCTGGCTTCCAACTAAAAAATGTAGTCACCTGATCCAATAACTATGAAGTATCATAAAACTCAAACAACTTAAGTCTTATGTTTCCAGCAAATTAACTGTGAATTAAACAGTCTGTTAGATAATACTTGGGATCTATCAAAACCAACTCAAGCATCATTTTCACCATGTCATAGTCTTACTAAAAAACTATTTATTCATTATTATATTCCTAATTGACTTGAGTCAGTCAATACTATGAATCTTGTAGTTCAGTGATTAGTAACTCAGAAGAAGTTCTATAGATAAAACCATATAAAGAAATAAAAAGGTTTGAAAACCAATAATGCAGACACTTACTGACTGAAATAAGAGAAGTAGATAGAAGAGATTTATGCCTATGAGCTTTTGAATAAAAATGTGGAAGAATGTACATATATACGAAAATGGGAGACCACTGGAGAATTTTTTAGACTAATCTCCCAAACCAGTTGTAACTGCTTTAGAAAAGTGTGGTATAACCAAATACCATTATGAAATGTGTAAATAGTAGAGATGGGCTCAGTAGAAAGGGAAAGTCCACTTTTAAAGGAATTAACAATTAATAGCTGTAATTCTAACAATCAGGCTCTGTTATGTGAAGCCTAAGGTTCCATTTTTCCCAGTCAAAAATACAATGCTCCTTTCTATCATTTAATTACAAAAGAGTACAGTTATGGTTCTCTGATTTCATTGCCAGAGCTGTAAAAACATTTATTGCAGATGTTGTAAAGTGGTCCCATGTTTTCTAGAGAGATGAATTGGTCTTTCTAACCTTTATTATAAACTTTTAATACAAAGGTACTTCAAAAAATTCATGGGATGGGCCGGCCCGGTGGTGCACTGCTACAGTGCGCCGCTTGAGAGC